ACTGGCCTTCCTCATTACACACTGGGTTCCTCATTACACACTGGGTTCCTTATTACACATGGGTTCCTCATTACACACTGGGTTCCTCATTACACATGGGTTCCTCATTACACACTGGGTTCCTCATTACACATGGGTTCCTCATTACACACTGGGTTCCTCATTACACACTGGGTTCCTCATTACACACTGGGTTCCTCATTACACACTGGGTTCCTCATTACACACTGGGTTCCTCATTACACATGGGTTCCTCATTACACACTGGGTTCCTCATTACACACTGGGATCCTCATTACACACTGGGTTCCTCATTACACACGGGTTCCTCATTACACACTGGCCTTCCTCATTGCACACTGGGTTCCTCATTACACACTGGGTTCCTCATTACACACTGGGTTCCTCATTACACACTGGGTTCCTCATTACACACTGGGTTCCTCATTACACATGGGTTCCTCATTACACACTGGGTTCCTCATTACACACTGGGTTCCTCATTACACACTGGGTTCCTCATTACACACTGGGTTCCTCATCGCACACTGGGTTCCTCATCACACACTGGGTTCCTCATTACACACTGGCCTTCCTCATTGCACACTGGGTTCCTCATTACACACGGGTTCCTCATTACACACTGGGTTCCTCATTACACACTGGCCTTCCTCATTACACACTGGGTTCCTCATTACACACGGGTTCCTCATTACACACTGGGTTCCTCATTACACACTGGGTTCCTCATTACACACTGGGTTCCTCATTACACACTGGGTTCCTCATTACACACTGGCCTTCCTCATTACACACTGGGTTCCTCATTACACACTGGGTTCCTCATTACACACTGGGTTCCTCATTGCACACTGGGTTCCTCATTACACACTGGGTTCCTCATTACACACTGGGTTCCTCATTACACACTGGGTTCCTTATTACACACTGGCCTTCCTCATTACACACTGGCCTTCCTCATTACACACTGGGTTCCTCATTACACATGGGTTCCTCATTACACATGGGTTCCTCATTACACACTGGGTTCCTCATTACACACTGGGTTCCTCATTGCACACTGGGTTCCTCATTACACACTGGGTTCCTCATTACACACTGGGTTCCTTATTACACACGGGTTCCTTATTACACACTGGCCTTCCTCATTACACACTGGCCTTCCTCATTACACACTGGGTTCCTTATTACACACTGGCCTTCCTCATTACACACTGGGTTCCTTATTACACACTGGGTTCCTCATTGCACACGGGTTCCTCATTACACACTGGGTTCCTCATTACACACTGGCCTTCCTCATTACACACTGGGTTCCTTATTACACACGGGTTCCTCATTACACACTGGGTTCCTCATTACACACTGGCCTTCCTCATTGCACACTGGGTTCCTCATTACACACTGGGTTCCTTATTACACACTGGCCTTCCTCATTGCACACTGGGTTCCTCATTACACACTGGCCTTCCTCATTATACACTGGGTTCCTTATTACACACTGGGTTCCTCATTACACACTGGGTTCCTCATTACACACTGGGTTCCTTATTACACACTGGGTTCCTTATTACACATGGGTTCCTCATTACACACTGGCCTTCCTCATTACACACTGGGTTCCTCATTACACACTGGCCTTCCTCATTGCACACTGGGTTCCTTATTACACACGGGTTCCTTATTACACACTGGGTTCCTTATTACACACTGGGTTCCTCATTACACACTGGCCTTCCTCATTGCACACTGGGTTCCTTATTACACACGGGTTCCTTATTACACACTGGCCTTCCTCATTACACACTGGGTTCCTCATTACACACTGGCCTTCCTCATTGCACACTGGGTTCCTTATTACACACGGGTTCCTTATTACACACTGGCCTTCCTCATTGCACACTGGGTTCCTTATTACACACTGGCCTTCCTCATTGCACACTGGGTTCCTTATTACACACTGGCCTTCCTCATTACACACTGGGTTCCTTATTACACATGGGTTCCTCATTACACACTGGGTTCCTTATTACACACTGGCCTTCCTCATTGCACACTGGGTTCCTTATTACACACTGGCCTTCCTCATTGCACACTGGGTTCCTCATTACACACTGGCCTTCCTCATTACACACTGGGTTCCTTATTACACACTGGGTTCCTTATTACACACTGGGTTCCTCATTACACACTGGCCTTCCTCATTACACACTGGGTTCCTCATTACACACTGGGTTCCTCATTACACACTGGGTTCCTCATTACACACTGGCCTTCCTTATTACACACTGGGTTCCTCATTACACACTGGCCTTCCTCATTACACACTGGGTTCCTCATTACACACGGGTTCCTTATTACACACTGGGTTCCTCATTACACACTGGCCTTCCTCATTACACACTGGCCTTCCTCATTACACACTGGGTTCCTCATTACACACTGGGTTCCTCATTACACACTGGCCTTCCTCATTACACACTGGGTTCCTCATTACACACTGGGTTCCTCATTACACACTGGGTTCCTCATTACACACTGGGTTCCTTATTACACATGGGTTCCTCATTACACACTGGCCTTCCTCATTACACACTGGGTTCCTTATTACACACTGGGTTCCTCATTACACACTGGGTTCCTTATTACACACTGGGTTCCTCATTACACACTGGGTTCCTCATTACACACTGGGTTCCTCATTACACACTGGGTTCCTCATTACACACTGGGTTCCTCATTACACACTGGGATCCTTATTACACACTGGGTTCCTTATTACACACTGGGTTCCTTATTACACACTGGGTTCCTCATTACACATGGGTTCCTCATTACACACTGGGTTCCTCATTACACATGGGTTCCTCATTACACACTGGGTTCCTCATTACACACTGGCCTTCCTCATTGCACACTGGGTTCCTTATTACACACTGGGTTCCTCATTACACACTGGCCTTCCTTATTACACACTGGGTTCCTCATTACACACTGGGTTCCTCATTACACACTGGCCTTCCTCATTACACACTGGGTTCCTCATTACACACTGGGTTCCTTATTACACATGGGTTCCTCATTACACACTGGGTTCCTTATTACACACTGGCCTTCCTCATTACACACTGGGTTCCTTATTACACACTGGGTTCCTTATTACACACTGGGTTCCTTATTACACACTGGGTTCCTTATTACACACTGGCCTTCCTCATTACACACTGGGTTCCTTATTACACACTGGCCTTCCTCATTGCACACTGGGTTCCTTATTACACACGGGTTCCTTATTACACACTGGCCTTCCTCATTGCACACTGGGTTCCTCATTACACACTGGGTTCCTCATTACACACTGGCCTTCCTCATTACACACTGGGTTCCTCATTACACACTGGCCTTCCTCATTACACACTGGGTTCCTCATTACACACTGGGTTCCTTATTACACACTGGGTTCCTTATTACACACTGGCCTTCCTCATTACACACTGGCCTTCCTCATTACACACTGGGTTCCTCATTACACACTGGGTTCCTCATTACACACTGGCCTTCCTCATTGCACACTGGGTTCCTTATTACACACTGGGTTCCTCATTACACACTGGGTTCCTCATTACACACTGGGTTCCTTATTACACACTGGGTTCCTCATTACACACTGGCCTTCCTCATTACACACTGGGTTCCTTATTACACATGGGTTCCTTATTACACACGGGTTCCTCATTACACACTGGGTTCCTCATTGCACACTGGCCTTCCTCATTACACACTGGGTTCCTCATTACACACTGGGTTCCTCATTACACACTGGGCTTCCTCATTGCACACTGGGTTCCTCATTACACACTGGGTTCCTCATTACACACTGGCCTTTCTTATTGCACACTGGGTTCCTCATTACACACTGGGTTCCTCATTACACACTGGCCTTCCTCATTACACACTGGGTTCCTTATTACACACTGGGTTCCTCATTACACACTGGCCTTCCTCATTACACACTGGGTTCCTCATTACACACTGGCCTTCCTCATTACACACTGGGTTCCTCATTACACACTGGGTTCCTCATTACACACTGGGTTCCTCATTACACACTGGGTTCCTCATTACACACTGGGTTCCTCATTACACACTGGCCTTCCTCATTACACACTGGGTTCCTTATTACACACTGGGTTCCTTATTACACACTGGGTTCCTCATTACACACTGGGTTCCTCATTACACACTGGGTTCCTCATTACACACTGGCCTTTCTTATTGCACACTGGGTTCCTCATTACACACTGGGTTCCTCATTACACACTGGCCTTCCTCATTGCACACTGGGTTCCTTATTACACACTGGGTTCCTCATTACACACTGGCCTTTCTTATTGCACACTGGGTTCCTCATTACACACTGGGTTCCTCATTACACACTGGGTTCCTTATTACACACTGGGTTCCTCATTACACACTGGGTTCCTCATTACACACTGGCCTTCCTCATTACACACTGGCCTTCCTCATTGCACACTGGGTTCCTTATTACACACGGGTTCCTTATTACACACTGGGTTCCTTATTACACACTGGGTTCCTCATTACACGCTGGATTCCTTATTACACACTGGGTTCCTTATTACACACTGGCCTTCCTCATTACACACTGGGTTCCTTATGTCCACTGAACAGGTTGGGGGTCAGCCTGGGTGCTTGAGTGCTGCAGGTGTGTAACGTAGAGTAGACATAAAGGGTACATGTGTTGGATGAAGGGAGAACAGGTGAATGGGGCAGGTGGATGCCCAGATGCAGAAAGAAGGGAAGCTGGCTGCAGGGTGCATGGCGAGTGGCTTAGGGATAGGTGGGAAGTGGGTGGAGGACAGGTGAAGTGTGGACTGTTACGGTGAACGGGGCTGTTCGGTGGACTGGATGGTTACCCTACTTTGCCGTCTCCTCCCCCACTGCACTCTTTCTTTCAGTGTCTTTGAGCTGCAGCATCTGGTTGAGGGACACCAAGAACCATACCTTCTTCACTGGGACCAGTCACAAAGTAAGTGCCGTGTTCTCTCAGCCTTAGACTTGTCCTCCTGGGATCGGCCTCTTATTCCTCCAGCTCCAGGCCCACGGGCCCTGGACAGTTTGGAGTCCATCTGGTGCAGGGAGCTCCAGACTGACTTGATGCATTCAGATCATAGCTGCATGCCCCAGTGACATTCCCTTACCCCTCTGAAAAGTGGACGCCCTGGCCAGTGTGGCTAAGTGGTTAGAGCATCGGACCATGGACCAGAGTCGCGGGTTTGATTCCAGTCAAGGGCACGTACCTCAGTTGCGGTTCAGTCCCCAGCCCTGGTCAGGGTCGTGCGGGAAGTAACCAGTCAGTGTCTCTCTCTCACACTGATGTTTCTCTTTCTCTCTCTGTCTCTCTGTCTCTCCCCTCCCCCACTCTGTCTAAAAATAAATGGAAAAATATCCTCAGGTAAGGATTAAAAAAAATGGAGCCAATAATACCTGCCTTATTATCCACAGTGTGTTTTGAGGATCAAGGTGATATGTAAAAGCACTTTGTACATTGCAGTACACATCAGCAAGGTTATGACCTTTACTTATCTCGGGAACCACTTTTCTCTTTCATCTGGAGTCACTTATTGAGGAAAAAAGTACTAGAGTTTACTGGTTTGCCGGTCATGTGTTAAAAGGTGCTAATTCTTTTTATTTTTTCCATTCCCTAAGAGTAGTGGGGCTTGGGAAAGTTTTTATTTACTTATGTATGTATGTATTTATTATTTATTTATTTTATTATTACTTTTTTTTAATCCTCACCCAAGGATATTTTTCTATTTATCTTCAGATAGAGTGGGAGGGAGAGAAAGGGAGAAAGAGAGAAGCATCAATGTGAGAGAGACACATCAACTGGTTGCCTCCCACGCGACCCTGATCCGGGCTGGGGACAAACCACAACTTGACAGGAATCGAACCTGAGACTCATTGGTTTGTGGGCCGACACTCTAACCACTGAGCCAAACCGGCAAGGGCAAAATGTACTTATTCTAACAAGCCATTAAAAACATGCAAAATAGCCCTGGCCGGTTTGGCTCAGCGGTTGGAGCGTCGGCCTGCGGTACAGAGAGACCCGGGTTCAGTTCCCGCTAAGGGCACGTACCTCGGTTGCAGTGTGTCCCCGGCCCTGGTTGGTCGTGCGGGTGGCAGCCACTCGATGTGTCCCTTCACATCGATGTTTCTCTCTCTCTCTCCCTTCCTCTCTCTCCCTCCCGCTCTATCTGTACAAAAAATGGAAAAAATGTCCTCGGGTGAGGATAAAAAAAAAGCAAAATAGATCCACCTCAGTGAGCTGCTGTGAAGTTGTAGTTGAAAATTGGGTGTCTCAGTTTGGCCAGAGCATTGGGGAGCAACACGAGATGACATTGGAAAGGAAAGGGTGGGAGACGGCCTCCCGTGCCAGGCCAAGGCCTCTGAGGCCACACAGGGATGAAGCAGGTGATAGGGTCAAGAGTGTTTGGGCAGGTGGCCATCCCTGGTACCAACCTGTCCCTGGTCTCCAGACCAGGTACAGGTCGTTCTGAGCCAGGTGGCAGGCCCTGAGACCGTCCTAAGGGCTGCCACACACGGGCTGATACTTGGAGCCCTGCAGGAAGATGGGCCCCTCCCAAGAGAGCTGGAAAAACTGAGGAACCAAATACGGGCAGGTAAGCGCCCCACAGCCTACACTGTTGATGACTTGAAGTGGGGTGGAGAGAGCATGTTGGGCTTGAGGACCCAAGAGTTCCTGTTCCGCGCCCCCATCCAGGTCCTAACAAACAGAGCTGGCTCATCGTCCAGGAGACACACCAAGTGTTGGACCAGCTATTCCCAAAGTTCTTGAAAGGTAACATCCTTCAGCCTGCTTGGTCTGAGGCCTTCTCCCCAGGGGCCCTGCCTGCCCCCGTCCCCTCTGCCTGGGAGATGGTAGATCTGGGTTCTCTCTGTGTGCAGGATGGAGAGGTGAGGATGGCCCCTGGGCTGTCAGTGCTCAGTGTCTGATTAATCCCAGCTGGCACTGAAGAGCCGGGAGTGCGGGGAGGCTCACAAGTGGCCGCTGCCAGCCTCCTGTTTAGCGCCTATTCCACCCCCCTTTCCCAGGTGCTAGCTCAGTGAATTCTTGCTACAACCAGATGAGGTGTTAGCCTCATTATATGCCAGAGACACCCAGCAGAGGCAAGAGAAACCAGAGCAGGGCATAAAGGCCGTACCTAGCCTGTGCCACTCCTCACCCCTCTCTCCATGGCCAGCCCAGACTCCTCCCAACTGGCCCCTAGAACCAACACCCCATGACCTCTTTCCAGGACTGCAGGATGTGGGCTGGAAGACTGAGAAGCACCAGCTGGAGGTGGATGAGTGGAGGGCCACATGGCTCCTGTCTTCAGAAAAGAAGGTCCTGTGAGCAACCCAGATGGAGGGCCAGGTCCCCGGCTAAGAGCGGGAAGCAAGAACACTGGCTATGGCAGGACATGAGAAAGGCAGCTTTATTTTTGTGGGGGAAACTGCTGGCCATGGCCTCACAGGAGGTAGCTACCAGGTGGATAGGTTGGGCCCCAGGCAGAGACAAGGCAGAGAGAAGGGGAACCACGGCCTTCCTCTTGCCTTCCTGCCCCACTTCATTCTCACCAATGTGGGCTCTCCAGCCCCTCGTTGTGAGGCTGAGCCCTGCCCCCGCTGTGGTCCCAGTGCCTCAACACAGTTGGCCTCAGGCATAAAAGCCCCAGAGGAACGTGGCCACGGCCATCATGAGCAGGGCGTTGAAGTTGACCACACGAGCCCAGCTCGGGTCCTCACTGATGTCTTCCAGCCGCCTGGCTGCTGCAGCCGCCTCCTCCTGGGTAGGGGGTGGGGAACCACCTGCCCCACCCCTGCTCATTCCACAGAACCAGAGCAGGCACTGGCGGAGCAGGCCTGGTGCCTGGGATTGGGGCTCTGGGAAAACTGAAGCCCTACAGTTAGTCTGAGGGAACTTGGCTCCCCAGCTCCTTAGCCCCACCTCCTGGGCAGTGCCTCACCCTCCATGTCCACTGCATGCTCCGGACGCCCATTCTGTACAGGGGATGAAGCCGGACCTTCTCGCTCATCAACATCCAGGTCCTCCCGCTCCTCTTTGCTGTGCCGGAGACTGAAAACCAGGCGGTGGAGCTGGGGAAAGGCGGGAGCAGGGACCAAATGGCAGTTCTGCTCCCCAACCCCAGATCCTGATGTCTCTTGTCCACACTGGCCCTTCCTAGCCTCCCTCTGTCCAGCCTGTATACCCAGCCCAGGCTCAGCTCACTCAAACATGACCTGTGGCTGCCCTTTGCCCTCAGGTTAAACCCAAGCCCCTCAGATGGGTGTTTAAAGCTCTTGGCCCAGCTTCATCACCCCAAGTCTCCAGTCTGTGCTTAAAATTATAGTACTTTAGACTCCAGTCTTACAGTCCTGCTAACACAGGGTTCCTTCCTGTGGGTATTTGCTCCTATTTCCTCCTGTTGCCTTTCCCCCCACTTCTCCACTTGTGGAACCCTGCCCATCCTTCCAGCCCCCCAGTCAGCCCTGTCCTGGGGCACTTGCCATGCAGTGGAACAAGACCAACCCCCTTTGTGGGCTTTCAGGAAAGTGCCCTGTCCCTCTCAGCCACCAATCAGAGCCTGTGTTTTGAGTCCAAAGGGCCATGTCAAGGAGTTTGGGGGCTTTAATCACTTCCCCTACCATCTTCAAGCTACCTCCCCCAAACCATCTCAAATAAATGTCATTATTTGACAAGTAAAAACGCTGTGCTTGCTTTGCAAATGCACCTTCAAACTGGACTCCCGGCCTGCCCACACCAGCCCTCAACATAGGAAACCAGGTCTCCACCGGGTGTCCTTGGAAGCACACTGGCCAGCGCCGTGCATGTTCGGTGCTGTCCCGAAGCTGACACTTACGTGCTTGCGCGGGATGGGTGCTGTGCACAGGGAGATGACAAGGGTGAGCAGGCCAGAGCAGACAAAGAGCACGATGGCAAAGTAGAGGTAGTGCACCCCGCAGAGGAGTGCCGGGCACATGGAGGGTCGAACGCAGCTGCCAGAGCCGAAGGAAAACTCGGGAATGAGGCGCGCCAGACCCATCAGCAGGCCCCCAATCAGTCCCCAGAAGGCGCCCTGCGGAGGTTAGAGAGCGTCAGCCTTCTCCGATGTCCAAACCCTGCACCAAGCTCACAACCTACACGCATGCTCACCTTCTCATTGACGCGGGGCACGAAGAGAGCCAGCACAAAGACCGCGGACACCGGCGGTGCCAGGTAGCTGGAGACCGCCTGGATATAGTCAAAGAGCTGCCCGCCCTGCGCTGCCTGCACCACGGGTAGCCAGGCCACCGACACCGCCACGATGAACACCACCCAGAGCCTGCAGTGGCGGCCATCAGACTTCACCAGGACCCCAGTCCCTCCCCAGCCCTACCAGTGCTCCCTGCCCCGCTCCCGAGCTGATTCATGGGGCAGGAGGTAGGGGTGGGCGGGGTGACTCAGGCGCACCGTCCTACTAGCAGCAGCTCGCCGTCACCTGCACGAGGCCGCAGGCGCGTGTAGATGTCCATGGTGAAAAGTGTGCTGCTGCTGTTAAAGATTGAGGCCAGCGAGGACATCAGCGCGGCCAGCATGACCGCCAGCATAAGTCCACGCAGACCTGTGGGCCAATGGGAGCAGTGAGTCCTGGGACACCAGGGTGCGGGTTTGGCGATGGGTGATGTCAGTCTCCGAAGCTTGCCCACAGGGGGCAACCTATGTGCTCGCCCTCACCATTGGGCATGAGCTTCACGACGAGCCGAGGGTAGGCGATGTTGGAGCAGCCCACCTCAGTGCCGCACACGCGCTTACACACCTCGGGCACCACGCACGCCACTTCGTCTGGGGGAAGGGCACGACACACCTAGGACGGGACCTGGTCTGGGAACTCAGATACCCGGAGTGGGGGCTGGGAATTCTAATAGAGGTAAGATGGGAGCCCTGGTGGGAGGTGGGACTGGATGACTGTATTCCCAGATCTTGGGACTGTAAGGGATATGGGAAGCAGGCACCCGATCCTTACACAAGAAAGGGTCTGGATGGGGCACAGGACTCTTGGTCCGGGCGTGGGTGCATACATTACCCGGATAAAGAATGCGGCTGATCATGCCCGGCATGACCATGAGGAACATAGGCATCAGCTTCAAGTAGCCGCACAGGATGCAGCCCGCCTTGATGTGGGTCAGGTTCTTCCCTGCCAGGCAGCGCTGCACAATAACCTGTAACAAGGGGTGTTCAACTGCCTGTGTCAGTCCCGGATACCGGGCCTCCTCAGGCCCTGCCTGAACTCCCGGCTCTGATTCAGGCCCTGCCTGGCTCCGCGCTGCAGCAATTCGGCTCCATACACCGCCCCTGCTGGTTGCATTCAGCCTCCTCATGTTTAGCTCCACCCAGGCAGGGTTCCGCCCCCCTTAGACCACGCCCTCGACCCAGCCCCATCAGAGGGTTTCAGGCTCCACCCACCTCAGCCCCGCCCACTTTGGTTCTAGTTCTGCTCCAGCCTTGCTCCCCACCCAAGACCTGAACCCGCACCTGGTCGCTGCACCAGTACCAGCCTGAAACGATGGTAAGCCCCAGGAGCAGCGCAGGCCACGGGAGGTCCCCCGTGACAGGGTCCCGGAGCAGATGGTAGGAGTCAGGCCGGGGTTGATAGCAGGAGCTGGAGATGTTGCCCACAGCCGGATCCTCGGACACCGTCAGCGACGTCATTGCCCCCAAGTATTTGTCGAAAAGCCCGGAATACCCGCCCACCTCATGGAAGGCTGTGCGGGCAACACCGTTAGGGGACCCGGCGCCCGCGCCAAGGCCCTCCCTAGGACCCACACGCCTGAGATGCGGGATGTCCCAGCTCCCAGAGTGAGAGCCCTGCAACCCTCGACCTCCCCACCCCTCCCCTATTGGGGCATACCGTAACCCATGAGGATGAAGGCCCCCCCGAGAATGACGAAGGTCTGCACCGTATCCGTGTACATCAGCGCTGCCAGCCCTCCTGCAACGGGCCTGGGTCAGTGGGAACAGCCCAGACAGGCTGCTCCTAGTACAGCCCATGTCGTTGTTCGAATATGAAAAAGGTGCCCCTTTCCAGAGAACAGATTTCAAAACGATGGCCCGTGCACTCGGGAAACAGGAGGCAAGACTTGGTGAGCGGAGGGACGTTCCTATCACATTTCCCGAGCCCACTTCCTTCCCTAAGCCCCTGCCGCGGCCACCTGTCACAGTATAGACCATGGTGATGCCCAGGAGCGCGATGACGGAGGCATAGATGTTCCAGCCCAGAGCCTGTTGAATGAATACAGCCCCGGAGAACATGTCCACCTTGGGGGGAGGAGCGAGCACGCAGATCAGGACTCAGCCCAGGGCAGGGACCAGTTCCACCTCCTGCCCAGACCACACTCCTATATGACCATGTTTCATTTTGCGGTGGCCTGGCCTTCCCAGGTCCCACCCCCAGAAATCCATGACTTCCAGTCCCTACCTCCATCAGGATCTTACTTCTACTTCTCCCGCCCCCTCCAAGGCTTTCTAAAGACCCTCAATCCGAAGTCCCATCCTCCCAGGGCCCCGTCCCGCCCGCCGGCCTCGCGTGCGCACCGAAATCTTGGTGAAGATGTACAGAAAAAGCGAGAGCACGGACAGGTAGAGGCGGATGCGATGGCCACCGAAGCGCTTGCGTAGGTACTGCGGCATCGTAATGACGCCCGCGGTCAGGTAGACCGGTGCGAAGAGCCAGCCGAGTAGCAGAACCACAAACAGCGCCTGCGGGCACAGCGGGGCGGCTGGGAGTGACTCCTGCCCGAGATCCGGCCATGAGCGGCTCCTACGCCCTCTCCGTGAACTTGCTACTCTAACGGCAAGGTCACACCTAGGGCCCAGAAGACACAAATTCACATGTTGTCCCTGGGCATTAAAGGACATGACCTGGTCTTGATACCTTCTTGGGCTCTTAACTAGACGCCCCCCTCTGCCCTCCCAGGCCACAACCCCTGGCCAGTCTCTCCCAAGATGGTCCCTATTTCCTAGCCCCCAAGCACATGAGTCCAAGCACAGACCCCTCAGCCTGACCCCAGCCTCTGCCAGGAAGGGCTGCTTCTGCTTTCCTCTCCACCCAGGAAAACATCAAGGCTCAGCTCAGAGGCCCCCCTCTGCCAGGAAGCCCTGGGCTCAAAGCCCCGATCTCCCCAGCTTCCCAGGGCGAGTCCCAGTCCCAGAGCTGCCTCCCTCCCACTTCTGCAAGGAGCTTTCATTTGGCCCAGAGACCCCATAGGCCACCTCAGAGAGCATCAGAACACGCACTTCACTTAGAGGCTGTTCACACCACTTCAGAGGGGAGTAAATCAAGGCCACAGAAGGTAGTGGCCGGTCCAGGCTCACATAGCAAGTCAGAAGCAGGACCTACCCCAACCGTGAAAGAGGTCATTTCCTACATGCTGGACATGTGACCCTCACTTGAAGCCCAACCCCAACCCATTATCAGGAAGTTCTACCTTCAGTCTCACACCACCTCTGCCTGGAGCCTCCCTAGGTGTGACCCTTCCAGGGGTTCCCACTGGGGTTGAGGATTATTGGCAAAAAGGGGGCCTCACATTCCATTCAAATCCAGCCACAGCCAAGCCGCTGGCAGCACCGGTCCCTGCCAGGCCCACAAAGTGGCCGCTGCCGATGTTGCTGGCAAAGAGAGAGGCCCCGACCTGGTGGCCAGAGGTATGGGTGAGCCAGGATGCTTCTCCAGGCCCCCTCCCACTCCACAGACCAGCCTCTCTCACCGGCCACCACACCATGCTTCGTCCTGCCAGGAAGTAGCCGCCCACAGTGCCTCTGTTGGTTCTGCACATGGACTGGGAGACAGGAGTTGGGGGAGACCTGGGTTCAGGGCATGTCTTTGGACCTCATTAGCCTCCTCAACACATTCCTCAGCCTTGTTTCAGGCTGAAAATTAACCAGTACTCAGCTCCCCGATGGTTCACACCCCACCCCCACAACCTCTTCCCAGTTCCCCAGAGCTACCCCCAGCCTAATCTGGTGTCCAGCTGCCCAAGGCTAAGTGTAGCTAGATTCAGCCTGACTTTCCTGGGGGCCTTGTATCAGGCCTACGGGCTCTGGTCTGCCACCATTTAGACAGAGGAACAGAGGCCTCATTTAGAATGCTGTCCTCGAGGAATTACTAGCCCAATCCCATGGTGGGAAGACAAAGAATGAGTGTGGACTTGGCCTTCCTAAGGCTATCAAAAGACTTGCTTGCCTCCCTTCCCCCAGCCCCTGGTTTCTCCCTCAAAGATCTAGGCAGCCAGCCCTACTGCCACCTGCAGTCTCCCTGAGACTTTCCCCCCCATGTCCCAGAAACCTGGCCCCCAGCAGCACCCCCTCCACTTCTCACCCACAGGCCAACACCAATGACCAGCAGGAAATAAGCAGCAATGACCAGGATGTCAGCAGGGTTGTCTATTAAGACCCTCTGCTCCCCCAGCTCTGGAGCCAAGCTTGCCTCTGTGTGTTCCTCCATTCTGTCCAAGATCTGCCCCTCAAGGGACCAGCCCCTGGGTTCTCCCAGGGGAGGGATTAATGGTTACCTCAGGTGCAATGAGCTGACAAATCCCCCAGGCCTTGTCCCTGCGCGCAGCCTTTGTTCCGCTGAATCAGGCTACATCAAGGCTGGAGGCTGGTCCTGGGGAGGTGGGCCCTTTCAAGTTCAGGAACACTCCTTTCTGGGCTTTAG